AGGGTACCCCTATCAAGAAGACATATACGTATTTTGACATTCTTTTTATTGAATGAGAAATTATGGCTATAAATTATAATACCTACCTAAGAAATTGATTTACACCAACATCAATAAATAGTGCTAGTCGTACAACATAATTTTGCAAACTAACCAATCATTTTAATTTAACTTTTGAAAATGAAAGAAACGAAATTAAGATAAAATATTACTTTCAAATTTTGCAATAAAATTTACTATTGTTGTTTGTATTGCTACAAATTTGATAACTCCTATAAAGAATTATTGCTCATTTGATGAAAATATGACGATCTTTAATTTTTTTTACCCTATTGCTCATTTGATGAAAATGTATGAACCAAAGCACCCTTATTATGACCTAATTTCGCTATGTATAATTTTAGAGAATTTTTGCTGCGCTAGACATAAATAATGGGAATTAAAGTATGCGGCATAAGTTGTGTACTATTTCTATGATCTAATTTCACTAGATATAAGCTAGCTTAGAAAACTTTAGTCTTACTCGGCATAAGTTGTGTAGAATTAGATAAAACTTTTTATAACATAGCTTGTGGGTTATAAAACTGAAGTCTTGTCGCTATCGGGATAAATTCCGCAGGAATTGAGGCAGTGGCGGAGCCAGCAATTTCATCAAAGGTGTTAAAGAATTTTTTTCTTAATAAGTGAGTTGAATGTTATTTGCTTAACCTAGTGATTCTACCATGAACGATCTCAACATTTGTCAATATCAAATATAAACAATCGAGTTTTTTTTCTTCTTTTTGATGCATTGATTTTATATGATAAAAATATATGATTATTGTTTTTAAAGTGAAATATTGATAGAACAAATGCGTCTAGCTTTACGAAACATAAATCACCCCAGTAGAAAAAAAAACTCTTAAAAAAGAAGAAGATAAAACGCATATATTGATTTTAGCCTTGGGTTTAAAGTTGTTAACATATATAAACACAAATAATGTAAAATAGTGGCTTTTTTGTTTTCACCATTCGAAAGTGCATTATATCCTAGATAAAAATTAGAAATACATGATATCTAAATATTCAAAATTAAAATAATGTATTCATATATGTTACTCTATATTATTAAAATTGTAATATTAATAATTAAGAAACTTGAGGAACATAATAATGGTGTGTGAGGTTGTGTTCTGCTCACAAAATAAAACCAAAGCAATTGTGCGCTCACGGGATTCGAACCTGCGCACCTCGAGTGGAAATGAACACGCTTAACCACTGTGCCACGGAAGAACCTATGTCAAGGTTGTTCAACATTAATTATTTATCCCTTAAATCCAGAATTTAACCTCTCTATACGGTGTAATTTTCCGGCGAAGGGTGGTCAGCTTTGGCTGTAGCTCCGCCACTGAATTAAGGTATGTCTTTAACGACATAACTTGTGAGTTTTGAAATGAACTTTTGCCTCTATCAAACCTAAGTTTCGTAGATATGTCTTTCCCTATCTATTTGTTTCCTATAAAGTCAAAATTCCTTTTCACTTTTAATGCTAGGATATACCCTTCTCTGTTTTGTGCATCAATTGATATACAACAGCCTCTTGACATAATTATCATGATTTTAATTTTGAAACACCTAAAAAAAACAAATTTGATCTAAAGTTAATTAAGACTATTGTTGATCCATTATGAAATGTTCACTAATCAAGCTTCTAACACTTCTTGATCAATCCTTTCATGATGAAATCTCTTCTTCCCACATAAACTCACTCCAAACAACTTTACACTATCACTCTTTGGCTCTTCATGATCTTCAACATGTACTTGGCGATGGCGATGATGATCTACAATTTTCTGATTCAGACCTTCATTAAGTAAAAACACACGGAAATTTTCCTCAACCGGTTTGATATGATTTTGAATGAAGTAGATAATGTCATTGTAGAGATTCTTCATATGTGTGAGTTCAGATAATAGTACAATGTTCCTTTTCCATAGCCTTTCATTGTCTTGTGTGAGTGCTAAAAGGATATCATGATGCTTCTGGTGATGTGTTCATGGTAGGGTGTCAAATGATGTAATTGTTGAGGTGTACTCTTTCTTCTTTGGATCTCACAAAGCAAGTGTTTTTGTCCTTTCTTGAAATGTTCATTTGCAAATTCCCATCTCTCTGGAACTATCTTCTTAAATCCCTGAAATGAGAAATGAGAAATGAGAAATGAGAATATACTCCACAATTAAGGAAACCTTTTTAGACAGAGATAACACATAAACATGTCTTTTAACTTGGCTTTAGCTGACATTTATGTTTTTTAATTTTGAGTGTGCATAACTAGACACTTAAATTTGTATAAAATTGAACAAGTAAACGCATGTGCTTTACATTGTGTCTCACATAAATTGCCACGTAGAACGCATGTGTCTACTTGTTCAACTTTATACAAGTTTAAGTGTTTATTTATGTACATTATTCAAAGTTGAAGGGCATAGATGTCAGCTAAGACTAAGTTGAAGGAGACGTTAATTATTACTCCCTCCGTCCCAATTTATGTGACACATTTTGGATTTCGAAATTCAAACAAGTTTATCTTTGATCCTAAATTTTTCATATATCTTTTAAGGAAAAATCACACCATATACACATTTAAGAGATAACATTACGAGTTTTAAACCTATTCTTAAAAAATTCTTACTTATAACAGTTTAATTACGGGTTATAACATATCAATTAAATTTAACTTTATTTAAAAATCAATTAAATGAATAATCTTTTTATAATTTTATATTATTAATAATTTAATTATTTTGATTGCAGTTCCTTTTTTAAAATCAGTAATTATCAATTACACAATTTTAAGGATTTATATTGATTATAGTTCCATGTTTACCGTTACACGCCGCACCACCACCCACTCACGTTAATCCCACCTTCCCCCCACACTTATCCTATACAACACGCCACTACCACACTACCACACCTTCAGAAATAAAAAATTCATCTCTCTCATCTCTCTCAAACATAGTGCATTCCGTTTCTCATCTTCTTCATGTCGAAGAAAATTGTTCTAATGCCTCGAAAGAGTCCTCCACTAGTTGAAGCAACTTCTACGGATGAAGTACATGCTCCAACATTCAACGTATTGACTCAAATCCTGCCGTCAAAAAATAATGAAATTCCGGCAAAGGCGGGTTCTTCTCAATCGAAGAATCAGATTACTCAAAAGTAGAAAAATAGTCAAGCAAAGAAAATGGTAAGTCCTGCAAATCAAAAGAAAAAAAGAGGAAGGGTAAAATTGTAGAAACTCATTCAGATTCGAATTTCGTAAGTGAGATAAAAAAGAAAAAAACAAAAAAAACAAATGTTGAAATTGGTCAGTCTTCAAAACCATCAAGAAGAAGAACAACAATGAAGGAGGACTCAGAAATCCCAATATCTAAAAAAGGTAAAAAAAAAAGTGGTTAGGGTAAGTATTATATTTAATTTAATTTCAAATTATTTAAATTAGTGATTTTTTTTGTCATAAATATTATGTCATGCAATTGTTTTTTCAGTGATTGTGGTTTGTACACATGTCTATTTGCTGAATACATCAGTACTGGAGTTTTTGATATGCGTTCTGTTGATATCACTGCAAAGTACCATCGTCAAAGGTATGCCACAATCATATGACATTATGGAAAAATAAAGAATGATGATGGCGCGATCAGTGAGAGTGAAATAACTAGAATTGTTGCTAGTAAATTTGGTGGACCTCGCATAACAAAAGAACATGCTCTGGATACCAACAATTATCCTACACCAAGAGCACGAAGATCAAATTTGAGATAGTTGATTGCACCTTAGACTTTTTAGAATTACAAGTTTTTTTTAACTTTTGGACGATATTTTTGTGTTTGATACAATTTTAAGTATTTGATGATATATAATATTCATTTTTTTCTTCCAGTCAGATACCAACTACATATGAATTACAAATTGACTATTATAATTTGAGGATTCTAGTTATATACAAACTACATACCAATTGGATACATCATTCTAAAGATAAATTACACATTGAGTATAATAATTTTCGGGATAACAATTATATACAAACTGCATACCAATTGGATTCAACATTTAGAGTTCATGATCTTATAGTGTCTTATTAACTGAAACAAAATGAATATCAATTTAGAGTTTATGAACTAACTCTGTCTTATAATTGGTATCCAAACTGTACGTTTTTGGCATCCAAATTCATACATGATTGGTTTTTTTACTTCATATTCTAACACAAAAAAATAAAAAAATAAAAAATGAATGAAGTTGGTATCCAACCTGTATAAATACCTTGAAGAAATGATTATGTCAATGTAAAATAGTGATCAATGTATTTTGTAATAACCTCAATTACATCTTGTTTTATATTTATTCATGTTGGACACCTTATGGATACCAAATTAATACTAATTGTAAATTATATTGTCTTAACAAGTGTGGATTAAGTATTTTATATTTTAAAGATGTATGAAGTTGGTATACAATCTGTATAAATACTATAAGAAACGAATCTGACAAATTAAAACTGCGATCATTAATTTTTGCACCAACATCAATTATATCTTATTTTATTTTGGTTTAGAGTAGACACCAATTGGATACCAATTAATACTCATGCTAACATACATTAAATAATATCAGTCGCTATTAAGTTGCATACTAAATGAATACCAAATGCATACCATAATTACCTTATGTAATGTTCACTAATATGAACAATACCTTATATATTAAACTGGCATGAATTTTATTTCTAGCAATATGCAATTGGTATGATTACTGAATGAATCTTGTATAAAACATGAACAGTTTATTAAACACTTAGCTGAAATGCATTTGATATCAATTCTGTATATATTTGATATGAATTGTCAATAAATATTATTGGAAAACAATGAATACATTGTACCAATAAAAAAAACATGAGTCTAAAAGATATAATAATATAAAAATTTTGTATCGTTTAAACAAATAAACTATCATTTTTTTGGCGCAGGGTAATTTGAACATGTCTTCCTGTTGTGGCCCACTTGACGACATCTACTGGAAGTAACTTTAGACCTTTTGAATTTCACATCAGCAAATCCCTTCCAGCGTTTAAGATGCGGTCTTTCTACCGTTCTCTTTGAACCAGGCGACATCAATTTAGGCTCTGAAACATAACTTGATATATCCCATGTACTCTTGCATAGGAGAGGTTCAACAGGGATCACATATGCATCTTCAAAATTCTTCAAGCTATAAAAAAGAGAGCAGTAATCTATTTCATGCAATCTTCTGTACCTAAGAACTGCCATTCCGTGCTCGCATGATATCTCATCATTTTGAAATCTTCCGCAACTACATTTCTTGGTGTTTATGCATACTATGTATCGCTTTGGTCCATCAACAACATCATGCAAATAAAGTGTTGATGGTATTACCTAACACAAAAAAATTGTATATTAACATGTTGTTACAAAAAAAAAAACCACAAAAAAGGTTTCAACTATATACATAATGGATATCAAATTCATTTCAGCTACTTGTGTAATGTGTTGTTCATGTAAGTTGGCATTTTATACCAAATTCAATCAGTAATCATATCAATTGCATACATGAATACCTTTGGATATTAATGAATAAAGGAAAACTCATACCCTCATACTGGTAGACAAAGCAATACTTTTATGGAGCTTAAAATCATATTTTTTTGTTAGCTCTGATCTAGTTTTTGTAGCCTCCTCGTTGTGCTTATGAATTCATGTTTGAACTGTTATCCTCATAAATTCAAGAAGTGAAATCACTAGCAACCTCCTTGCTAACCTGTTAACATTATACAAAGGAACAATAAATATGTTGTATTTATATTCAAATTTCATACCAAGATAATACAAATTCCATTCACAACTTCATTCTTCTCACAAAAATTTATACACACTCGTCATTACTTATTTATACCAATATCATTCCAAACAGTCTACCGAAATTCATACCATAAAACACATTTCATAAAAAAAAAAAAGTCTGTCGTACATAATACAAAGGAATAATAAATATGTTGTATTTATATTCAAATTTCATACCAAACATAATACAAATTTCATCCACAACTTCATTCTTATCACTCAAATTTATAGACACTCGTCATTACTTATTCATACCAATATCATTCCAAACAATCTATCAAAATTCATACCATAAAACGCATTTCAAACATTTATTTTTTACACCCATTTCATAAATTTATAATCATAACATCATCATTATTTCATATACTATCACGAAAAAATATAATCAAATCATTCAAATATAAATACAAAATAGCCACATTCATTGTGTTTACAGTATACAAATTACAAAAATCAGTTTACAAAAAATTCATAACATCATTTATTCAATTTTCACAGAAATTATTTTGTAATATGAAGCAAACGAAGGTTCATACAAAAAAAATCACAATTTAAATATATTATACACAACCAAAATCCGAAAATTTCATTTTCAGTTTCATTGTTCTTAATTTTTTTTTTACTGAAGTTGGAATAAAAATACAAATAATAAATCGCAATGAATACTAACCAGAAGGATCACATCTACCACCATATTTTATTAATATCGATAAGAATCCGCCCATTACCACAAAATAAAGATTTTTGAACCACAAATATTTTGGAATTAGTCGTGAATGACGACAATCACATAAAAAAAATTGAGGGAGTGAGAAACATTTGAATAAAAAAAAATCTGATTTTTGAATTAATTTTCACTGATTGAGTAAAAAAAGAAAAACAAATTGACAGAAAAAAATTAGAGGGAGAGAGAAACGTTTGAAAATAAAATAAAATCTAATTTTTGATTTAATTATAACCGATTGAGTAAAAAAAGGAAACCAAATATTCTTATTTTGTTTTGAATCCCCTAAATTTATGCATTATTAATTATCCTTAATGTTATCCATTTTTTTAATGATATTTAAAAAAATGTTTTTTAGTATTATTTAATTTATTTTTTTTTAATAAAATGTTGTAACCTGAAATTTTTTATTGTTACAACTTGAAAGTTTTATTCTACTGTTATAACTTGAAAATATTAGTCTAATAAATGCCATTTATAAAATTTTCACATCTTTTAAATATTTTGGATTGTCAATTATTATTGTGACTTATAGTACTTCAATGTAGTTTACAAATATAAAAATTTCATTTAAAAAATACTGAAGATTTCTTACGTAAATTTCTGGTCAAACTTAAACTATCTGACTCTCAAAAAATGAATTAAGTAACATGAATTGGGACATAGAGAGTAGGTCTTTTTGATATAAAGAACTTCTTTGTAAAATCATGGTGATTTGGCTTGTTGAAATAGTGAAATCCAACTAAAAGGTGTCGCTTTTCCCCTTGGTATTTGTAGGCCCAAGAAAATGATTTGGGAAAGCAAATCATTGTGCTTGGAGAAATTTTTGGTCACCATCATCAGTATTACTAAAATCTACTAGGTTTTGGTTGAACTCCACAGAAGGGTTTTTTTTTTTATATAAAAAAAAATAGAGAAATAGTTTTATCTTCTTAACCATAAAAAGTTTCCATAAACCAAAGAAATGATTACTCACATAAAAATATGGAATAAATTCAATTATTAAAAGTTATTCCTAATCCTATTTTGAAAGTATAGCAAATTATTCCCGCGAGGCGAGACGTGGCAGGGAAAATTAAAACACAGGATAATGTGGGCAGATTGAAAATTTTGTGGGTTAAGACTCAACCCGTCCCACATTCACAACTCCCATTCCATTGTCATCCCTATTTTCGATTTTTCATGAGGACTTTATTAGGATGTTGTATAGTACAAAATTTCCAAATTTTATATCATGCCTGCATTGACAATTGGACCTAAGCCTATATAAGTCCACCTTAGTCCATAAACTTCCTTTGCAAATTAACTAGCCCATACATTTCCTTTTCAATTTATCTATTTGATATTCAAAACATCTTATTTGAAATCTCATTAGATATATATGCCTAATATAGAGGATGAAACGGAAAATAAATAGGCAAAAAATATTCATTAAAAATCAACACCATCAATATCAACCTCTTATCAAATCAAGGTTACCGTTTGCTTAATTACTAATATCGATATTGGGCTTATCTGTGATCAAACCTTTAAAACAAGTAGAGATACAATCAATCAATATCAATTTCTTAACAAATTAAAGAATGAAGAATAGTCACGTTAGCGATATGAGAACCTTTAAAACAACTAGTAGAAACATAGTCAATCAAAATCAACAACATTATTATCAACCTCTTATCAAATTGAATGATGAAGAATAGTCTACAGGGGCGACCTGAGAACATATGTGTCACATTTATAAACAATAAATTGTTAGAAACAAAATATGCACATACATATGTTCTCAAATCAACCCTATTGAACACATCCACATATTGTTGACTCCATCTTTTTATGTGAATTCATGAAGACATATATAAAGGGGAGATAGATCTTTAAAAGGTGTACACATTGTACTACAATTAGTACTAGTACTTCAATGCTAGGACAATATCTTTCTTTATATGATGTCTTTGTCTATAAAGTACTACTACAAACTATTGTACTCCACGCATTCTACTTCACTTATTTGTACTACAAATATTTGTTATACCAACCAAGTCACATTATTTGTTATACTCGATAATCTATTTTTTTTATTTATTAGATTATATAAATCTCTTAATTGTAGGCACCCTTTATATGACCTGATAATTATTGTTTTAATATATATATATATATATATATATATATATATATATATATATATATATATATATAAAACTTAAAGTTTGTATTATCATTCTCAATTTATGTGATTAGTTTGACTTGATATAAAGTTTAAGAAAGTAAGAAAGACTTTTGAAACTTATGATCTTAAATAAGTGATAAATATTTGTGAGATTATAAATAAGTTTCAATGTTCTGAACCCAAAAAGAAAAAAAAAACCATTCAAATTTTTATAAATTTCATATAATGAAAGTTATGAAAGTTATTTATGAGAAAAAACTGAATTTTAAAGTATTTCAATTTAGTTCAATGTTATTATTCAAGAAATTACACAAGGTGTTTCCCAAAGTGTGTGATCTTGATTTTTGTCTCTTCACCCCTCAAATGTTTTTTAAGAACTTTCAATGCTCAATTGTCTCTTAATGTTTATTTTTCTTTTATTTATTGTTTTATTCTTTTCTCTTTTTTGTCAACTTCTATTTTTTTGTGTTCTTTTTCTTTTTTCCTTCACTTATTATTTTTTCTATTTCTTTATTTTTCTTTCATTTTTTTAAAATCTTTTCTCTTCTTTTTTTCCACTGAGCTTAACTTGTTGTTTGGAAATTCTTGGACTAATAAGTCTTTAACTCTAAGCCAATAGCTATAGAGTATAATCTCATAAATCAAGACTCTTGCCCATGAGGCGCAACTTATTCGTTGGAAGTCCTTAGGCTAAGTCTTGACTCTAAGCAAGAGTTATAGAGCATCTCATAAATCATGACACAATGTGATAGTATTTGTACACAAGCGTTACATATTGTTTTAAAGTTCTTCGTCTAAGTATTGCCTCTAAAACAAGAGTTATAGAGCATCTAATAACTCAAGACACGATGTGATAGTGTCAAGTCTTGTCTATGAAACGTAATTTGTTGTTTTAAATTATTGATCTAAGTCTTGCCTTCAAGGCAAGAGTTATAGAATTAATTCAAGTTTTCTTTTTTCCCAAATTTAATGTGTTTCCCTCTTTCAAATATATCTTTTCTCGGAGGAAAGACTTTTTTTCCTTACTACAAATAATATAAATATAATAAAGATTGTCAAATAAGTTACTACCAATCTACCATTGAAATTAATCAATAAAAAAAATAAAATTGGACTGAGCGTACCCCTATCAAGAAGACATATACGTATTTTGACATTCTTTTTATTGAATGAGAAATTATGGCTATAAATTATTATACTACCTAGCTAAAAAAATGATTTCCACGAACATCAATAAATAGTGCTAGTCGTACAACATAATTTTGCAAACTAACCAATGATTTTAATTTAACTTTTGAAAATGAAAGAAACGAAATTAAGATAAAATATTACTTTCAAATTTTGCAATAAAATTTACTATTGTTGTTTGTATTGCTACAAATTTGATAACTCCTATAAAGAATTATTGCTCATTTGATGAAAATATGACGATCTTTAATTTTTTTTACCCTATTGCTCATTTGATGAAAATGTATGGACCAATATCTATGACCTAATTTCGCTAGGTATAAC